CAGCATTGATATTGTACGCGACCACGTCCGCAGGAGATTGACGGAGTTCGATGAGCTTGTGGAAAACCACCGAGTGCGGCAGCAGAAGGCCCAGTCAGACTTGGCCAAGCGGGAGAAAGAGATCGAGCGACGCGAAAAGGAGTTCAGTCGCAAGAGTGCAAACCTCGCCAAGAAGGAAGAATCTCTTCAAAAGCGGGAGAAGCAGATCAACGAGCTGATGCTAAATCTATGCGTGGACCGCGGCGAGCAAGCCCTTCACAAGCTAGATGACATGTTTCAATGTGAACTGTACGTCTTAACCTGCTAACATGGCATCTCATGCTCTAATACCCCGCCTTTCCGCTCGCAGATGCTTGGATGTCTTGTAAGTCCACCCGTTGTCACAAATGCTCTTGCATTGACGAAATTTTTCCAAAGGGCTGCTCCCTATACCATGGTACCTGAGAAATGCGGGCACACCTTCTGTTCCCTATGCATCCTTCAATATTATCTGGGTAAATTCCACGACGATTGTTGCAAATTCCATCAGCCGATGGACTGCCCTAAATGCCGCACGGTCTTGCCATGGCCCAACGCACATCACAAACGCGCCTCCTGCTCCTGCCCATTCACACCAAATCGCCTTGCAGATGGCGTTATTGAGCAGCATGTCGAAGTCCTCACAGCCTCGGCTCAGGAGTTACACAATATCGCGAAAGCAAACAAGAAAGGAGGACGTCTAGTAATCCCAGATACCCCGATCGTAGACTGGCGGGAGAAAGGTCGTGCGAAGATCGCATGGAAAGCTCGATACGAGTAAGTGTTGCGCTGAATTCATGTCCAACCAACGTGTTCTGATTGTCCTTCCATCTTGACTCGAATCTACCCCCCTACTTGTTATACCCGTGCACCGAACAGCCAAGGGAAGGCAGAGATGCTACTACTGACCGAGCGCTGGAAGACAATTGGGGGAGATGATATCATAATGATGAAGCGTCGTCTCGGAATTGCAAATTTGAGAGAGGAAGACCTCTGACCGATACCCAGCAACACTCGCATCCCCGCACGGACTATGGTTATTTGATGACTTATTGTGACACGCAATTGGCTCCTCATCATGCGTTTTCGCATACTGGTTCGTTCGACACATTGACACATTTGGAAGCTTCACCTCCCATTCTTACATCTTGGATCGTCGGATTGTAACTGTACCCGGGCTGTTGGCGCGCGCGCGCAGCATCCCTTGTGTAATTGAGTAATTGAAGAAGTACCCTCTGTCTGCATGCTGACACGCCGCTGGAGTTCATCACATGGTGGCATTACAGATGGGCCGCACGACGATTCTCATGGCGGCGAGGAGAGTTCAGTCAATTGAGTCATATCCAGCATGTATGATACATGCGCAGACGGTTGCCATCTGCAACCGACGACACAGTCACACGGCAGCATGCTCCCTTATGCTCCCCAGCGCACGCGAGCCCCGAGCTCGCCGGCGGTGCCACACAAAATCACGCCCCCTTCCAGATCCTCCCCCGCCCGTCAGGACATCCACAGGGGCACTCAAAGGTAGAAGCACCGTTCCTTCAGCGCGCGCATGCCGAAGAGGTCCTGTGAGCAGCCGCACATCAGGTCAGCCGCAGCGCATGCAAACACAAACCTTGCAAGAATAGACAGATAGACGCACCCAGTCAGCTGCAGTCAACCAGAGGTCGGTGACGCCGTCCATCTTGCCCAGTACGGCTGCACCTTTCCATGCGAGGATGGACGGGTCGACGTCCTTCGGCGCAGGGACGACCTGCACCTTCTCCATGTTCGGCACGAGCGGCGTCGCGATTGCCTGCAGTCTACACGCGGGACGAGCATCAGCATCTGAACCTTGACCACAGATATGTTGCGCAGAAGGACATATGAGCCATTTCCAGCAGGGAGGCACACAACGTGCTGTGCTCGCTAAGACAGAAGCAAAAGCGGAAACGCACCTGCTCTCCAGCGCATGTGCCATCCCCGGCACGAGCGCCGTCCCGCCCACCACCAGCACTGCGCGCAGATACTTCCGAATCTTCTCGTCCCCACCCGCGGCCCGCGCGCTGTTGAAGATCGCGACGTCCAGCGGGAGCTTGCTCGCCTCGAAGCACACGTCGATGGGATAACCGCCCGGGAATGTCGGCGCTGGCGCCGCGCTCGGTTGCTCGTCCACGGCAACACTCCCGTTCGCGGCGGCAGCCGCAGTCGGGGTCGCGCTGGCATTCGTCGTGCTCGCGGTCGCAGTCGCGGAGGGCGTGGGCGCCTTGCTCTCGCCCTCGTCGTCCGCGATCTCCATCGGCGCGTCCGCCGAGCCGTCGCCCCCGGGCGGCTTCTCCGCCTCGCCCAACTTCTCGTCTTCCTCATTTTTGGTGGGCGTAGCGTCATCAGCGGTGCCGCCGTCCGCGGAGGGCGTTGCAGCTGCGGTTCCTATGTGGCGTTCGAGGGTCAGCGCGACGCAGTCCAGAATGCGGGGCCTGGAGTGGCGTACCTGCAGCTGTCTGCGCGCCCTGTGGCGACGGCGCGAAGGACACCTCCCCTGCAGCCGATGCACCGGGTGTCTGCGTACCCGGTTCGGGAGGCGTCTGGAGCTGCTCGGGCGCGGAGAGTGTGGCGGGTACGGCAGTTGGGAGAAGGTGCTGCGTCGATATCACCATTGCTTGTGTCTGTCACATCACAGAAGCCTCACCCATTAGCAATCTTTCGTCCTAAATGCGCGAAATGCCCTGGAAGGAGCGAACAGACTCACGAAGTAGTCGGACGTCTGCTCGATGAGGCCTTCAGTCACGTCAGGGTGCGAGATGGGGTGCAGGCCCTCCCGCTTCTGGTCAAACTCGATGACGCGCGGTTCGAAGAGGCACTAACACGGGGACTCTGTCAGTTCTTCATCTCCGCCCGGCCTGCGGATGTGCCACTCGCCATTGGCGCAAGGATCGTCTCGTCGTACGCGCGCAAGCCGTACTTCTCCGTAGGCTTCCCGGGCCTACGCACCACGAAGTCGTACAGATTCAGTGCGACATCGCCCTATCGAGCCGGTATCTCAGAATCGCATGAGAAACGGATGGGAATGCAGCGCACCTCAGCCAACGTACACAGCCGGGCCTTGAGGTCCTCGATGATGACTACGTCATACGAACGTGCAAGGTCCACGTCCTTGTACGGGAACCCGATCTTCTCGAGTAGCACGTAGAAGAATTCTGTGATATCGTCGCCACCCATATCCAGAAGCATGCTAGTTTTGAAATATTAGGTGATGTATTTCGAGGGAATATTCGTTGCGAGGTAATCGTACCGAGTCTCCGGGAGGACAAACCCGTCATCGACACATGCTATGCTCGTCTTGGTGGAACCCATGTCAACGACGCACGCATTGGAGATACCAGCACCGTACGTTGCAGCAAGTGACTCCTGCGTCGGCAGTCAGCCATAGAACGAACGAGAACGACATAAATGGGGTGAACCTGCTGCGCGCACAGCTGCTTGAAGCCCATAGTCATGAGGAGCATCCGTACGAGGCCCTGAACGTAGAATCTGTCGTAAAAGTCGGGTATGACCAATACGACCGAGTATTCCTGCCCGTATATGAGTCGATTCGTAGTAATTGAGAGCAAAGTGATGGGACGCTCGAAGTACCTGATAGGACTGTTCATCGATTCCGAGCTTCTCCTGTAGGGTCAACCGCAGGATAGTCTCAATGTCACTTAGGCAGAGTGCAATCGACGAGTAATCTCGTGTGTTGAACTTCCCACCGTGGAATGGTCTTCGCACCACATACCCCGAGCTTTGGGGATCTGCCAGGCGAAGAGCCTGCCTCAACGTCAGTCCACAACGAACTGTAAGATCATAAGTCATTCTTCGACCTTTTCTCCGATCAGAACGTCCTCGTTCGGATTTGTCAACCACTCAACGCGGTAGGGATCGTTCACTTCAGGTATAATCTCTGGGACGAAGGACTCATTGAACGTCGTCGCGATGCTGGCAGCATTCTGCGTCACATGCAGCTTGTAGAAGCGCATCCTATCTCGCAGAGAGATCGTGATCGCCGCGAGCTTCGTCTCAAACTACAGCCACACGGGTGGGATCAGCAACCTGTGTCTCTCGCTACCAGCAACAGACGCACCGGATCGTTGGGGTCGAACGGAACCGCATACTCGTCGCCGTTCTGGACAGGTGGAAGCTGAGATTTCGGACGATCCTTGCGAGGGCGGGCAATACCTTCCACGTAGCGCGGTGGAGGTACCGGCGGCGCGTGCTTACGCGCGATCACGCTCGGGATCGTCAAGGGCGTCACGTCCGACGCACGCCCAATCCTCAGGCAACGCGAGCCGGGGTGGATGACGAGCACCTTCGAGCCGCGCCGGCTCTGTGCGGGGCGAGTTAGCGGGCAGCTCACGAGCGCGATAGAACGGGAATGCAAAGGCGCACCTCGCTCGGAGTCGCCGCCCCGGACTCGTCGGGGGCCCTGCCCCTCCCCGCCTTGACGGCGTTCCGCGACCAGACAGTCTGGGACTCGGATTTGAGGTATGTCGAGCTGAGGTGCTTCGGGTTGGGTCTAGAACGGCGGAGCTGGTTCATTTCAGTGAGCACAGCTAGGCAAGGAGCCGACTGACGCTAGGGGGACATGAAAGGAGGTGTAGCGCATGGCCGACTCATCGCGCTTTGCGTTTGGGATGCCCCGGGGCATGATTCGTTCCGTGAATTCACCGGTGCGCAAGCTGTGGCGTCAAGAGACAGGCGGCGGCCCGCGAACGCGAACGGATGAATGGTCTCAAGAGTGGTCGTCGTTTGGCTTACCCAGAGATGTCGCCAGTAAAGGATGATACAGACAGCGAGCAAGAACTAGCACCGGATGATGGATGACACAACTAAGTAGAGCTTCAGCGGCTCATTTAGAGCACTTGTATTGAACTTGGAAGTTCTCTGTCTCGGTCTCGATCGCAGCTCGCCACAATGAACATGCACTAACGGCCCAGTACGATACTTGCGAAGAAACTAAACAAGGCTTGGTGGTCTAGAGGTATGATTCCTTCTTAGGGTTGTGGTCATGAACCGCGATCACTTGGAGGAGGTCCCGGGTTCGATTCCCGGCTAAGCCCTTTTGCTCATTTTTGCGTCCCTGAGCACTTGAGCTTTGGACATAGATAGTAACCTCCTTAAAGGAACCTTCCTGGCAGCAATGTCCGTGCATGTTCGATGTGTACGAAACAGCGTTACAAGTGATGGGTACGATCGAACGCGGTCACGACCGCGGGCCTCCGACTTCTATGTCATAGAAGCTTCAGATCCTACGTAAGATGGTATGGGTGATGTTGGGTGGCCGCATGTTTACAACAGGCACAAAAGCGTTGCAAAGCAGCAAGCAGCAGGTACATTTTCATACAATATCCAGTCCCGAACGGATGTGCTAGCCGACACAGGGGATTAGCCGTCTCCTCCGCCGCCGTCCCCGCCCATCCTGCGTAGCATAGCCTTCTTGCTCCGCGACTTGCGTGCACGAATATTTGTGGGGAGGTACGCCGGCGGCTGGAAGCCGAGCCAGCTGACGCTCTCGCTCTTGTGTGCGGGCTCTGCCTCCGACATGTCCGGCATGTCCGACACCTCGTCCTCGCCGGCCAGAGGGGAGGGAGGCATGGGCGATGAGGAGATGGGCTCGAGCGTGTCGTCGTCGGCCCAGACGACCGGCATGGCCGACTCGTAGAAGACAATGCTCAGCTGGCGGCAGAAGAACTGGCACGCGGCGTGGAACGCGGTCTTGCGCTGCAGTCGGAGGCCCCAGTCTTGCCAGTTGCTGCACATAAACGTATTCAGCATCAGAGAGCACGGGCGGGCACGAGGCATACACACCTGTTGTGGGGGATACCGACAGTGACCTCCATGTAGCGCTGGTAGTTGACGTTCTGCAAAGTAA